AGATTTTATATAAAAATAATTTACTTTTAGGATCAAGCATGATTCTTAGTCTTTTATAATTGACATTACATACTTAGATCCAGCAGAAGGAAGAGAACACATTAGAGAGTGAAATATTTTTCTTAAAGTGTGTTTTAGACATTAAATTTGGTATGTCTGTGAGACAAAAGAGATTTAAAGTAGATAATTGGCTATATATATCTTGAGCTCAGAGGAAATGTCAGAATTGTAAGTTTGAGCTTCATAGTGACACTGAGTGTGTTTTTACCTTGTTTCTTTTTGGAAGATATTGTGGAGAATTGGTACCATTAAGTCCTTAAATACTTCGTAGAATTCACCACCAAAACCATCTAGACCTAGTGCTTTTTTTCTCAAAGGTTTTTAATTATGGATACAATTTATGTAATTAGATACAGGACTATTCAGATGGTCTATTTCTCTTTGTGTGTTTTGATAGATTGTGTCTTTTAAGGAATTGGTCCATTTCATCTAGGTTATCAAATTTCTGGGCATAAATTTGTTCAGAATATTCCTTTATTATCCTTTTAGTGCTCATAAATTCAGTAATTATGATCCCATTTCATTTCTTATATTAGTAATTTATGTCTTTTTTCTTTTTTTCTTGGTTGCCTGACTAGAGCTTTATTGATCTTTTGAAAAAAAAAACAGTCTTTGGCCTTATTGATTTTTCTCTATGGCTTTTCTCTTTTAAGCTTTATTAATTTCTGCTCTAATTTTTCTATTATTTATTTTATCTGTTTACTTTGGGTTTATATTGATCATCTTTTTCTAGCCCCTAAGAGATATTTCTTCTTTCCTGATATATTCATTCAATCCTATATATTTCCCTTTAGGTAGTGCTTTTGTTACATCCAACGAATTTTGATAAGTTCTATTTTTATTTTCATTTAGTTTCAAGTATATTTTTAAAAACTTCTGTCAAGAGTCCTTCTTTTACCCATGTTTATTTAGAAGTATGTTGTTTAATCTTCAAATATTTAGAGATTTTTTTTTCAGTTATCTTTATGTTACTGATTTCTAAATTAATTCCACTGTAGTTTTTTTCTCAAAAATCAGTCAGTTATAGCTAAATAGTTTTATTTCTGTGTTCTCTATTCTTTTCCACTGGTCTATGTTATCTACCTTTAAACATTACCATGCTGGTTTGGTTATTATAGTTCTGTAGTATCATTTAAAGTCAGGTAATGTGATGCCTCTAGTTTTTTTATTTTTGCTTAAGATTCCTTTGGGTATTCAGGTTCTTTTTTGGGTCCACATGAAGTTTATTTTTTTCTAGAATGATGGTATTTTGATGGGAATTGCATTGACTCTGTAAATCACCTTATGCATTATGGAAATTTTAACAATGTTGATTCTTCTAATCCATGAGCATGGGATGTTTTTCATTTGTGTTATCTATGATGTCTTTCATCAGTGTTTTATAGTTCTCTTAGTAGACATCTTTTACTTCCTTGGTTAAGTATAATTCCTAGGTATTTTCTTTTCTTTGCAGCTATTGTAAATGATGTTGCATTATTGATTTGACTCTCAGCTTGACTGTCATTAATATACAGAAATGTTACTCATTTGTGTACATTGATTTTGTAATCTGAGACCTTGGTTAATTTATTTATCAATTCCTGAAGTCTTTTGATGGAGGCTTCTGGGTTTTCTAGATACAAGATCATATCCTCAGCAAACAGGGATAGTTTGACCTCCTCTTTCCCTGTTCAAATGTCCTTTGTTTTTTTCTCTTGCCTGGTTGCTCTGGCTAGGAATTCCAGGACTAGGTTGAATAGAAGTGGAAACAGTGGAAATCCTTTTCTTGTTCCAGTTCTTAGAGGGAATGCTTTCAACTTTTCCCTATTCAGTATGATGTTGACTCTAGGTTTTTAATATCATTTTGCATAATGCCATATTTCTCATAGATTTTATTCATTACTCTTGATTCTTTGTTCTTTATTTATGACCAACTGGGTTATTTTCAAGAATTGTGGTCAAGTTCTGAAATTCTCTCTTTTGCTTGGTCTAATCTATTCTTAAAACTTGCCACTGTGTTTTTTATATCCCTAAATGAATTTTTCATTTCCAGAAGTTCTATTTGTTTTTCTAAATATATTTACCTCTTTAGTAAATTTCTCATTCATTTTCTGAATTATTTTTCTGTTTCCTTTCAATTAATTTTCCATTTTCTCTTGTATCTCTTTGAGATCCCTTACAATTCATACTTGGGAGTCTTTATTTGTAATTTCTATATGTTCATTTTTGTTGGCATTCATTGATAGAGAGTTGGTGTGATCCTTTGGTAGGGAGGGGTCCTTTCATTCTGATTGTTCATACTGCCAGAGTTCTTGAGCTGATTCATTCTCATCTGAGCAGGTGTTGCTTCTTGTTTTTAGATTTTCTGTTGTTCAGATGAGACATTTTTCCTCCCCTCTCTCTTAAGGGTATGCCTGTAGCATAGGTTGGCTAAGGGCATTTAGCTTTGCTTATGGGTTCTTTGATGGGGGTCTGGGTTCTAGATGTATACCTTGATTATAGATATCCCTAGTGTTTTGTTTTTCTCAATTACTATTAATGGTTACTTATAGACTGCAGAAATAGTATACTATGTGTGTGGGCAGTTTCCCTGTCTCTTGTTTACAAGGGAAGATGGAGGTCTTTGAAATCCTTTTGCTTTCCCTAGCCCTGTGGTCTTCTTAACAGTATGAATTATATTAGGATGCCCAGTTTAATCTTTAATCAGTAGGCTGCACTTGTGTGTAAGAATCAGCCACACCCTATATGACTGAATCAGTAAATGCTATAATGGGCTGTACAAGTTGTCCTCCCTGCCAGTAGGTGGCTCTTACAGGAAAGAGCCAGCTTTGATGATGTTTTTTGGGACCTGTCACCAACTGCAATTGGTCAGGAGAAGCACACAGATGTCTCAGAAGGTGGGCAGGACCCTAGATCTCTCAGGGGACTCCTTTTTATGCTCCAATACAGTCAGTGCAGGTGGAGAAGTGAGGCTGGGTGGAACTGGGCTGGGTGAGCTTATATTCTGGCCCCACAAAGGTGGCCACAAGAGCTGTCTCAGTAGAGCTCAAATGTCAACTTCCAGGATGCTGGGGAAAATTACCAGGGAAGGACTGAAGCAGCCCCACCAAGCCAAAAAGTCTGCTCTCTGGAGGAAGGAAATCTAGCATTCATAGTCTGGCAGATGGGAGTGGGCTTCACTCTTCTCCTTCTTTTTTCCTGAAGATTTTATTCCAGCATCTGTCTGTAAACAGCAGCTCAAACTGGCCATGCTCACCAGTAATGCCATTGCAAGCTGGGAACTTCCCTGTCTAGGAACCCATGTTGGACCAAATTCATGGCTTTCCTGTAGGGGAATGGGTGCTCTGTGAGAACACTATGGCTTGGATCCACACTACACTCTCATTTTAGTTCTGCCCATGTGGGCTCCCTTGCTTCCCAAGATTAGTTCATAAATCTAGCCTTTGTGCCTCTGAGCAACACTATCAAGTCCTTGGGGTATAGGATCCAGCCTGTGGATCTGTCCTTTGATCTCCCAAGTTCAATCCCTCACCATTCCAGGGAGAAGTGTGCTGGTTCCAAGTTGCCTGTGAAGTGCTCAAGGCTTAATGTCCCTCTCCTTCATGATATCCCTCGCTTTTCTGGAGCAGCCAGGCAGGTAGCACTGGGGAGGGGCAGCAGGCAGAGAGCTCACAGTCTGAGCACCCCTTGATCTGCTGCAGGTCTTTAAGAGGAAAGGAGTGAGCCCTACTCTCTGTGGAAGCCTGGCTGTGGTGGGTATGCCAACATAGGGGGAGCAGCCACTCCTGACAGTCCCAGCTCAATTGTACCTTGGGACACCCATACTGACTAATGTTGGGATTGCTGTGGTTGCATTAGTAGCTGAGGAGGGGGAGAAGAAGGAAAATAGTCTGAATGGAAGATAGCTAGCACTCTTGTCCCCTTTGTCCCAAGGAGCCCCCTGGCTTGCTGTACTCTTGTCTCCTCTGAAGGCAGCCCATCTTGGATGTCCAAATTCTGGGATAACACAGTTCCCCTGGGACTCACTGGCTCTGTGTGGCCACTGCAGTCTGGGCATGTATTAAGAAATTTTTGTGTGGGGACCAGTAACAAGAAGACTAAAAAGCTGAAGCTCCCTGGAGGGAACAAAGGCACACATGGGTGGAGAAATAGTATAGCACCCGTTGCCTCTGCTTAGGTCTGTGGTGAAGGAAGGCAACCTTGAGGGGGCTGGCAGCCCAGTGATGTGTTCTCAAGATGCCCCAAGTTCACTGGCTACAGCAGTTTTGGGGCTTGTTAGGGTAGAGAAGCACTACAACAGTTCAAGAGCCTGCAAGAGAGATGTGAGGAGAGGAAAACCAAACCTCCCCACCTACTCTTTCCATGGGGCTCCAAACTTGTAGGAGGAGCCAAAATCTTGCTGCTGCTTATTCTTCTCAGCAGTTTCTTCCCATGGAATCTCTGGTAGTTTCTTCCCTCAGAATTACACCTTGGCTGTATTTTTTTTCATCTACAACTTTTCCTTCTTTTTTATATGATATCACAAATGATGTTAGCCATGTCATCTCCCCTTTCTATGTTCTTATTATTGTTACTTTAAACAAAGTTGCATTTTAGATCAATTAAAAATAATAAATAACAGCTTTTATTGACCTTTATTTATGCCTTCTCCAGTGCTGTTCTTTCTTAGATATGGATACAATTTTCTGATATAAATCTTTTAATTTTCTCTGTATCTTTATTTATGTCTCCCTTTTTGGTATTGGACTTCCCTAAATACTCATCCTCAGAGAGAGTTGAGCTTTTCAGCTCTTGATTAACTATTATTTCACTCAAGCCCCATTTATGCTGTGGTAAGGTATTGGTGAAAGGAAGCATTCTATAATGGTATTAATAAATCTCAGTCTGTGGATCTGTGCCCTTGGGCTGTACCTTCACAAACATTTCACTAACATTTCTTGCTTTTCACACCTCTCCCTTAGGTGAGACAGATTCAAGGAGGCTGGAGATGGAGAAATGTCCTTTACCTAAGTTGGATGAGACTCTGGTAAGTCCTGCCTCCTATAGAGGAGGCCTTTGTTTTGGAGAATACTCTGCAACTATTTCACTATGGTTCATCTCTCCCTGCCAAAGCCACAAAGGGATCTTTGTTGATTCTGCCTTAGAACATTGTGGAGCTCCTAGAGTAAAATCCATAAAGAATGGTGGCCCCTTTATGACTGTGTTCCCTAGGAGTTTCTCATTGTTAAATTAGTCCACTACTTTCAAAGAGAATGTTTCATCAGAAGAACATCTACTATTTGCCCTTAATTGTTTAGGAAAACCGTGGAAGAGTTGCTGAAAATCTGTCCATTTGTTCATACAGATTGCCTATAAACCAGATTTGAGAAATAGGAATAATAGCAAACCAGATAACCTATACTATTAGGTTGTTAAATATGAAATGTCTGATTTGAATCAAAAGTGGAGTTTATTATATCTCAAACAAGAAGCAGTACAACTAATCAAAGTATGCACCTAAACTATCAACACAGTTTTGCCATTTTAGCAGTAGCTTGTTTATGCCAACGTTGAAGAAGCCTGGAGAGTGAGTGGCAATGACTTCGTGAAAGGCATTTTCCATAACTTGTTGAGAATTGAATATTTTTCCCTGCAAGAAGTGCTCCAAAGCCTGGAAGAAGTGCTAGTCAGTCAACTGGTACAAGATCTGGTGAATATGGTGGATGATAGAGAGCTTCCAAGTCCAGCTGCTGTAGTATGAACAGTGTTGTTGGTGTGACATGCAGTTGAGCGTTGTCTTGCAAGAGCATTGATCTATCTCTGTTGATCAATCTTAGCTGCTTAATTGCAAGCATCCTCATCATTTCATCCAATTGGTTCCAGTAGATATCCACTGTAATTTATTGACCAGGTTTCATAAAACTGTAGCTGGACCATGAAACAGACACCATTGGCTTTTTGTTATGATTATTTGGTTTTGGACTGTGTTTTGGCACTTCATCTTTATCCAACCACTATGCCAAATGCTTGTGATTGTCAAAAAGAATCTATTTTTCATCACACGTAACAATATGGTGTAGAAATGGTAAACCTTTATGTCATGACAGCAAAGAAAGACAAGCTTTGAGACAATTTGCTGACACTCATTTAATTCATGCTTGTTTAATTCACCTAGCTTCTTTACCTTGCCTATTTGTTTCAAATGCTCCAATATTCTTGAAATAGTAAAGTCAAATCTTGCTGATAATTCATGCATAGTTTGAGATGGATTTGCTTCCACTATATCTTTCAGCTATCATTATCCACCTTGGTCTCAGGTTGCCCACATGGATCATTTTCAAGATTAAAGTCACCATAACAGAACTTCTCAAACCATCAATGTATGGTGTGTTCATTAGTCACATCCTTTCCAAACACTTCATTGACATTTTGAGCTGTCTGAGTTGCATTGGTTCTACTATGGTACTAATATTCTAAAGTAACACAAATTTTTGACTTATCCATGGTTTCACAAAAATTGAACTAAAAAAAAAATTTGAAAGATAATCACAAACCAAAATACACCTTTGAAAGACTGAGGATGTACCTTCACAATAAAAATAAAACAAGAAGTGTCAAAATGAAATGTCAGAGTTATCAACAGTCAAACAGTACTTAAGGAAATCGGACATTTCATAATTAATAACCTAATATTTATAGGTTATTAACAATATAATGTTTAAAAAATCCATGGGACTTGAATAGCTGCAAATTATTTCTGTAAGGAAAATTCTGGGGTCTCAATTTAGGGAATCTCCTACAGATGGTCAAGAATTGTACAAATGGTCCTTTTGGTAAAGAGGAAGAGCTACAATCTTGGGAAATAATTTTTAAAAGTTTCCCATATGTATCCAAGATTATTAAAAGTAATAAGAAGTACCAGGTATGTGTACATGTGTGTGTATGTATATATATGTGTGTGTGTTTATATGTATGTATATTATATATAACTCATGTATATGTGTATATACATATAGGCATTATATATAATATGTATGTGTATATATATACATATATTGTTATATTAATATATAGAACATATACATGTGTATATATATATATATATCTGTATGTATATGTATGATTAAACTTTGAGGTCCACTGGGGGAAAAGAATTCCTTCTTCTTCAGAGGTCATTCATCTCATCCCCCAGCCTACTTGAACACAAAACTTACAACCCTTTCATTTTCAAGAGCAAAGAATTAAGGGACTGTATTAGAGCCTGCCTTTGAGACCAGAATTTAATCAAGCATTCTAAGAAGGCAGACCCAATCAAGACCAAGGTAGTAGGTCTAATTGCTTTTATTTGTGCTTTGTGTACTGTGTGCATTCTGTTCCAGTGTGGAGCTATACTTCAAATGAGATTTCTCAATTAACGGGAAACAACTTAGTCTGGCAAGTTGAATTTCATAATGACTCTCTGAAGCTTTCCTTCTTAGCATGAATCTAATGACACATCATAGAACAAATTCATCATTCATTAACTCTAAACCAAATCCACTTTTTCTATCCCAGAGTGCTGCTTTTCCAAAATTACCTGTGTGAATTTTTGTACTTAAAGTTCAATAGCATCATATTATAAAGGGCTGAATCTCAAATGTGTGTACCTATACAAATCCCTACTGACTTCCAAAATCAACTGCCATCACAGATACCCACTGGGAGATTGGAATACAGCAATACATAACAGGGCCTTAGACAATGTAATCAACCACCCTGTTCTCTGTGGCAGCTTTCCTGAGTAGCAGAGAGAATGAGAACCCCAGCAGGGATCACGGCCAAAGAACTGAGCCCATGTGATTAAGGTGTTCATAATATTCTTTCTTGTACTTTTATCCTGAGTTTTCTCTGCTCATAAATATACTTCCTTGAGTTTTATTTTTTGTGGCTACAGTCAGGCTTGGATTTTCTCTCACACAGTTCTTTCTTCCTATTATAATATGTATCAGAATAGTCTCTCTGCATCTTTTATCCCCTAATGAATTTTAAAAAATATTATGAATAGTTGCTGATGCTGCCATGACTCTTATTTTTTTCTTTTTTTAACTAATTTTTCTTTATTCTCTGAGTGTTTTATTTTTAATAATGATCAGGCCATAACTTTCATTTCACCATCTAAAGGTGAAAAGGAGCCAACCAATAAAAGTATTTATTTTTCAAGAAATGTCTCTCATTTTTCTATGTAAACAATTCAGCAACCTAAAAACATAACTTTGAAACAAGCCATGTTTTGTTTTACTATGGATGCACAAGAAGTAAAAGTCTCTACACAATTGTGAAGAGAGGATTATTCAACATTTTATCAGCAAAGAGCAGCAGCAGAGGTAACATCTGAAGCCTCTGGAGGAAAGCTTGGCAGCTTCCAAGCTGACCCTCTGGGAAGAAAAGAGATAACTTTGTTTTCAGGAAGTTGGCTAAGTAGTATTTTTTATAGTTCACCACATGTTATTTGCTATTGCTTACCCGGATTCCATGACATTGAGAAAGCAGTCACCTCATCATTCCAATACTCTCTCTGACTTCTTGTTAATATTTAGATAGACATTATGCTTTATACTTTGCACAGTTTTTATCACTTAAATTTTAAAAACAGAAAAGCAAACTTCTAGAATTTGAAAACAGGAGTCACCTTAAGAAAATAATAAAACTTAAGGAAGTTCAAGCAAAGGCACTCTGGTTTTAGCTTTTTGTTTGGCTATCATTAACCTCTCATTTATAGAAAAGGGAGAATTAATATTTCATCAATACTTTTTTGTGAAGATAAATTTTGAAAAGAGATTAAGAAACCTAGTGATGATTTGTAAATCTAGCTATAAGCAGGCCTGTTAAAATACAGGTATTTCATTTATGAAGTGAATTTGTGGAAAGAAAGGATAAATGCCAGCAATAAATAAAATAGTTCTAATTTTAGCATGTAAATAAGTAACATGAAAAACAAAACAAAATTACTTCTGTTTTCATAGAGAGACAGGTAAACATATTTCTCTCCAAAACGTCTTTAGTCTGAATGACCTTTTGAAAGAGACATCCCTGGGTCAGATTGGCTGAGACCCAAAGTCAGCAGAACAGGAGCACAGTGCTTGTTCCCAGAATTGGCAAGATGTGACTTGTTGACCGTAAGAGAAAACTGTTTCTCAGGGCAAATGGCCAAGGACCTGTGGTTTCACATGCGAGCCAAGGTTGTCTATTATCCGCACACTGTACCAGACGGTAAAGGATAGAATGCAAACATCTTCCTCTCTTGTGCTATGCAACCAAGCCAGGCATCTTGTTATCTGCAAACGGTATCAGACGTTAAAGGGCATCTCTTATGCTATTTCTAGAGGAACAGGTGCTGTTGACTCATGGGAAGTCACATACCAGAAAGTAGCTAAAAAAGTAGCTGTGGGATGGTTGCCAAATTGAACAGTATAAAAATAAAACGACTGGTGCTTTAAGTGCTGCAGTCTTGTACCGTCTTTTGTGTCTCTGTGTGTTTTTGTCTGTCTTTCTGTGTTCATCCCCCATTCTGCAATTGGGCCACAACACCTTTTGGTGTTTAATAATATGATCTCAGTACCAAAGCTTCTAGCAAGGTATTCACAAGCACAATGGTGAAGCCATCAACCTTACCTTTACATTTCCAGGAGTTTATTTGTTTGTCATCCAGGATAACTAGGGCATATGAAATAATCCATCAGTCCAATTTTATTTTTTTATTTATTTGTTTTTATAATTTTCTATCCCATGACTGCAATGTGGAGTTGTGAGTGGCAAAATGCTATTATGGAACAAGAATGAGGTCCACAGTGGTTATTCTCCTTTTATCAGTGAGTATCAGAGGTAGAATTATGATCCGGTGAGCCTGGCTCTCAGGCGAGGGTGTTTTTCATTTTATAGAACAGTTTGCTTTCTCAGAGGCATAGATAAAAAAATATTTATTAAGTAATAGAATAAGGTAAGAAAGGAGTAAAATTATATGTCTTTTCAATCTGACCTCAAATAATAACTTTTCTGTGATGCTTTTCT